TCCTTGCCTTTTATGACTTTAAATACTTCTTTCCAGCCCCTTCTTGCCTGTAAGGTTTCTTTGGAGCAGTCAGCTGGTAATCTAATGGGAACTTCTTTGTAGGTAACTCTCTCCTTTTCTCTTGCTGTTTTTAAGGTTCTCTCCTTATATTTAATCTCTGGCAATTTAATTCTGATGCGTCTTGACATATTCCTCTTTGGATCCAACTTCTTTGGGACTTTCTGAGCTTCCTGGACTTGTAGGTATACTTCCTTTGTCAGATTGGGGAAGTTTTCTTTCAGTAATTTTTCAAATAAGTTTTCAATTTCTTGCTCTTCCACTTCTCCTTCTGACACACCTATGATTCGGATGTTGGAATGTTTAAAGTTGTCCTGGAGATTCCTAAGCCTCTCCTCATTTTTTTTTAATTCTTATTGCTTCATTCTATTTCATTTGAATGTTTATCTCTTCCTTTTGTCCTAAATTGTTGATTTGAGCCATGGTTTCCTTCCCTTCACTGTTGGCTCTCTGTATATTTTTCTTTAATTCATTTTGCATAGCGTTCACTTCTTCCTTTATTTTGCATACATACTCAATCATTTCTGTGAGTATCCTGATTACCAGTATTTTGAACCAACCACAGTTCTTCTACTCTCTGCTTCTAGTTCAACTTTTATAGGGTCCACATAGAAGTGAGATTATATAGTATATATCTTTCTGTATCAGGTTTATTTCACTTAGCATAATGACTTCCAGGTTCATCCACATCCATGCTATTGCAAATAGCACGATTACCTTCTTTTTATGGCTAAATAATATTCCATTTTGTGAATGTGTATGTGCCATTTTTTTAATCTGTCAACAGGTTGTTTCCAAATCTTGGCCACTGTGATTAATGTTGCAGTGAATGTGGGAATGCAGATCTCTTTGAGATGCTGGTTTTGTTTCCTTTGGATATATTCTCCCAAGTGGGATTACTGGACCCTATGGCAGTTGTGTTTTAAATCTGTCGATGAAGCTCTGTACTGCACTGGTTTGCATTCACATCAAAAGTGTACAAGCTTCCCTTTTCTTCATACCTCAAAAACACTTTTATCTTTTTGATAATAGCCATTATAACAACTATGAGGTGATATCTCACTGTGGTTTGTTGAACCCATTTTCATATACCTGTTGGCCATTTGTTTAACTGTTTTGGAAGTATATCTTTCAGATCCTCTTCCTGTTTTTTCATCAGGTTATTTGGGGTTGTTTACTATTGAGTTGTAGTCTTTATATATTTTCGATATTCATCCATTATCACAATATGGTTTGCAAACCTGGCGGGAGCTGAGCCATGAACTGATCTGGGATCCACAGTTGGAATTGAGGTCAGCAGGACTGTTATTAAAGGGACAAGAAGGCGTGGCTCCTCCTCGGTTCCCTGGCACATGGTGCTGGTGGAAAGACAAAGGCCAAATGGGGTTTGCAGCCCAGTTTAAAAAAAGGATGAGTGTGGTTTCAAGATCTACAGTCAGTATCACCATTGGCATGTCTGCCACCTTGGCATATGCCTGCATTCTCAAAATGGCCCTTCTCAGTCTTAGACTCTACCAGGGTTTTTGCAATCTTCTACCTGAATCCCATGCTCCCACAAGGAATGTTAGGCCACGAATGACTGCCAGATTATTTTTGGTGTCCGGGAATGGGAGCAGGTACCTCCTATTTTGCCATCTTGATGTCTCATGTAAGCTTATGCATATCTGCAAAAAATCTTGCTGGGAGTTTGATAAGAATTATTTTAAATCTATGTATTCATTTGGGGAGAATTGGCACCTTTATGACATTGAGTCTTTCCATCAATAAATATTGTATGTCTCTCTGTTTGTTAAGATCTTTGATTTATTTCATCAGTGTTTTGCAGCTTCAGCATACAAGTCATGTGCATGTTGTATTAATTAGATTTATATCAAAGGTTTTTTGGGTTTTAGTTTTGGTGTTCACATGTTCATTGATAGTATATAGAAATACATTGACTTTCATGTTTTGTTATGACCTTGCTGAACTCATTTGTTTGAGGCATTATTTTGTTGAGTCCTTGTAACTTTCTACATGAGCAATCATGCCATATGCTGATATTCTGGCTAGTTGTTCTATGAAATATTGAGAGAGAGGTGTTGTAGTCTACAACTTTGACTGTGTGTTTGTTGGTTTATACTTCAAGTTTCATTAATTTTTGCTTCATGAATTTCAACCTGCGTTTTTTTGATGTGTAAACATTTAAGATTGCTGTATCATCTTGGTGGACTGCCCTTTCCATCATTATTTAATGTTCCTCTCTTCCTCTGATAATTTTCTTTGCTCTGAATCCTGCTTCATGTGGTTATTCCTTCTCCACTATATTTGCAGTAATGTTCACACAATCTAGTTTTCCTAATCCTATACTTTCATCTGACCTGTATCTTTATATTTGAAGTGAATTTCTTGTAGATAGCATTTGGATGGATCCTATTTTATAATCCACTCTGCCAATCTGTCTTTTAATTGCTGTATTTAAACCATTTACACTTAATGCAATCATTGATATGTTAGGACTAAATCTACCTTTTTATTTTTTGTTTTCTCTGTGTTCTTTCTGTGTTCCTTTCTCTGGCTTCATGTGATTTACTTGAATGTTTTTTAGAATTTCATTTTGCTATACCTATGTTTTTGTACATATCTCTTTTTATAACTATTTTATTGGTTTCTCTGGGCATTACATTTTATACATAGAACTTGTAACAGTCTATTGGGTCAACCTTTTGCCAGTTTGTGTAGAAATCTTCTTAAATTCTTTTACTGTCCTCATTTATAATATCATTGTCTTAAATATTTCCTGTGAATACACTGAGAACCATATCAGACAGTGTTACAATTTTGCCTCAAATCCAAAAAAGACTTTGAAAACTCAACAGAAATAGAAAAGCCTAGTGTACTTACATATTTTCCACTTACATTTCTTCCCACAGATCTTGAAGTTCTGTTCATGGTATTTTCAGTCTACGTTTTCTTTGTTCATATTGGCTAATGCCTATTATTTTACCTTCAGGTTTACTGATTCTTTTCTCTGTCCCCTCCATTCTACTATTGAACCCATTCTCTGAGGTTTCTTTTAATTTTTATTACTGTATTTCTTAGTTCTGAAATTTCCATAAAAACTATTTCTTTGCCAAAGATGTATATTTGTTTGCTGGAACTTTTTAGTTTTCTGTCTTGTTTACATTTGTAATTGTTCATTGAAGCATGTTTATAATAGCTGCTATAGAATCTTCGACAGATAATTCTAAATTGTGTCATCTCAGCATTGTCATTTATTGCCTTTTATTATTCAAATTGAGATTTGTTTTCCTGGTTCTCAGTATAACAAGTGATTTTTTTTTTATGGGAACAAGTACATTTTGGGTATTATAACATGAGACTTTGGATCTTATTTATGTCTATGTACGTGGCTTTGTCTGACACTGCTCTGAGAGGAGAATTGGCAGTGGGGCTTGTTACTGCTACGTGGAGGTAGAAGTTCAGATTTCACACTTGACCTCCATTGATACTGAAGGGGGAAAAACTCCTTGTTACTGCTGGGCAGGTGTGAGTTCCAGCCTTCTGCTAGGCTTCTACTGACATCACTCTGGCCTGGGGGCGCTTTGTTGCTGCTCCTCACATGGCTTCCACTGACAACACTGCAGGAGGACTGGAGAGTAGAAGGTGGCCTCAGAACACTGGGCAGTGGGGAAAGTCCTGACATTCTGCTAGGCCTGTTCTGACTCTATGCCGGAGGATTACTAATGTCAAGTGGGGGTGTAAGTCCAGGCCCCCGACGTGGTCTCCACTGTCATGGTGTTTATGTGGCAGGTACTCACTACAAGCTCAGAGATGAAAGCCCTAAACACCCTATTCCACCTGTCTCATAACCTCCCCCCCGCCGCCCCCCACCAGTTGGGCTATAGAGATACCTCATTACGACCTGATGAAGGTGGAAGTCTGGGCTTCCCCATTCACTCTTTGCTATTGTGTGTGAAGGTGGGTAACAGTTTTTCTGTGATATTAACCTAGAGCAGAGCAGTTTTTCTAAGTTTTCTGTCTCACTAGGCAGCTCCTTTCCTAGTCCTGTGGTTGAAAAGAATAAGCTTTTGTAGGGGCTTTTTATTTTGGTCTGTACCCATTACTGTTTCCAGATTTTCAGGCTCTTCAGTTCTAAGTCTGAATATAAGAGGCAAAGAGAAAACCCAGGAACTCATTACTTTTGTTCTTTAAGTCCCAAGGACCCTAAGTCCTAGCTGGTCTTCTCTCCACCTTTCAGTGTCTTCCTATGTTTACTTTATATATAATGTCAGGCATTTTAGTTGTACTTAATGAAAGAAATAGGAAAAAACATGTCTAGTCCATCTTCCCAGATGTGGAAGTCATCGTTTTTTTCTTAATGTTAAGCAGCACACTGCTTGTTTTGAGGAATGAGTGTTAGTCCTCTCAAATCAGATGTCTCAGAGGAACCAGGCAAGTATGTCTGTAATATTCCCAGACTGTTTTTCTACTTAAATATGAGGCATTTCAGTGACTGTGGTCCATCTGAAAGCATTCCTTAGGCATTTGATAGTAAGTTATTTGAAAGATTAAAGCCGTCAGAATGTATGATGGTTTTGCTTGTAAATAACATTTATTTTAATGGGTAATTCTTTGAGCCTGTTGATAGTCTTTGCTCACTCCCTGCATTTCTCCATGAGGCCATGGTCTACCAGAGTAGGAGGACCTGAGGGAGCTCAATCCCAGGCATTTAGATGGCCTTCTTTCATTAGCCCCTCTCCTGACACAGAAGTTTCATGGAAAACTTGAAAATAGATCAATTGACAGTCACTCTTGAGCATGTGAGGGCAGCTGTTGCTCAGTGGGCTGGCTTGATTTTGTCTGCCCACAGTAGGCAAGTCATTGCTCTTTGTATTCCTGATTTAGCAAGAACATGAGGGGAATCCAGCTTCACAAATAAACTTGTATTTTTTATCCCCTTCCAGGCAAAAGCTTATTATCCCCAATGGAAGTTTCCCTGTTATTCTGAATACTTATTTTTGTCAGAAAGTTGTTGCCAAAGAAGATTCAAGAACAACACATGAAGTACGCGGTTGGAACACACCCCTCCCAAGAAGAAACATCACTTTGGCCCAGATGTTTAGATTTAATTGTCTAACAAATAATTCACCTGAAAGCCAGGTAAACTTTCATTGGCTTAGACATCTTATGCTTTGTAATACTATTGGATTTGAAAGGGTTATAAATGAAGAAGTTTACCTTCAGTCTTCCTTCAAATATTCAACAAATATATAGGCAAGAATATCTTGTTATTATTGGTATGCCTAAAGAAATTATGGTTCAGTTCAGTATATAGTTATTGCATTTTTATAGTATTTCATCTTTTTAATGATGTATTTTTAATTTTCTAATTTATTAAAATATATGAGTGTTCATTTTTCTCTTCTTGTAATTGTCTAAGAATTTTGTTTAAGCCCCCTTTTATTATTAAAAAGTTACATTTTTCTTTTTCACAATATCTGTATCCCTTGGGATAAAAAGAGCTGCATAAACTTGAGATTATAAACTGGAGATGGTTTTCTGGAATTTTATTGGCCCTGAATCATGACTATCTGCCAAGATGGATTTAGAGAACCACTAAATTTCATTAGGTATGGACACAAAGTGCACTCCTGGGACCCCTCCAGGGTCTATGGCTCCCAGTGCACCTGCCTTAGGTCCCCAAGTTACCTGAATCAGCACTGAGTGGAATGCTGAGACTGACTGAGAACACGAGGGAACATAAGAAAGATGGAAAAGCAAACAAACTTTTCATGCTGTTTTGTATATGTGTAATCAAGCAGAATCTCCCTTTAACTCTCAAAAGAGTATCTGGAGGGAATTATGTGAAAAGGAGGGCTCTCTAACCAATTTAATTGTACCAGGTTTAAAATATGGCTCAAAGTATATTACTGCTTCAGATTCATGGGATATGTTTTCATTGGCAGTGATGATGAAGCCACAGGATAGCATAGTGGTTAAGAGTATGAACTTTGAAACCAGGTGTTCTGGTTCAGTCCCGCCTCAGCCAGTTTCTTCTAGGTGACCTTGGGCAAGATATTTAACTTCTCTGTGTCTCAATATTCTTATCTATAAAATGGTGATAATAATATAATCTAACTCCTTGTTTTGTTGTAAAGTTAAATATATTTCTTAAGTAAGGACAATATGTAAAGAACAGTACCTGACATGTATAAAGTAGTCTAGAAGTGTTTTTTTCTTATTATGATATTTAATATTATTATAAATGATTGTTGGGATGCTACATGAACATGCACATAACAAGTACTTAATAATATTAAACCCTAGTCATTCTTCTATTTTGTTTTTAAGTTTGTCCTGTTGGGATTGTTACCTCTTAAAAGAAAAATTTTCTAAATTACCATGAGATATTTTAATAACAGGACTTTCTACATGTTCTCGAAGTCCCAATATGGCCTGTGTTTCTATTGATGAGAAACACTGTCGTTTCTGTGTTACTCTATCTCACCTTGCCCTTCTTGGCAGTTCTAGTTACCTGGCAGACATGGAAGTTCTTGGTGTTTTTTTATATTTATAGGTCTGTGTTTTATATTTATTTTTCCTTTAGTGTTCTGCTTTTACATCAGAGAATTACCTAAGAATATCATCATTTGTATGTAGTGTGCCACCATGAGCCAGACTAAAATTGTTCCCTTTTCATGTCTTGGCCAGGTTATGAGTAGTAGGCTCACTGCCTTGAGGACAGATTGGACCCACAGACAGAAGGAAGCAAAACAGTACTTTTCATCTCAAGCGCCCCTGAGAGATTCTCTCCTGGATACAGTAGAAAGCCAAGGAGCCGCCACATGGTCAGGAGTTAGAGTTCCAGTGGTGGTGCAGAGAGTTTACTCTCTTCCCTGCAGGTGTCAGCAGGGAGGTGGCTCAGCTGCTGTCCCCACTTCAGACCCACCTAAAGTTCGGTGAGTGACCAAACAAAGGCATGGGAGTACCTAGAGCTACATAGAGAAAGGAAGGGCTCTTCCAATAGCAATTTCTTGGCTGCATTCACCATGTACATCAGTTGTTTTTGTTTGTTTGTTTCTTGCATCAAAATTAGGGGCCAAGGTATGACAAAGGATTCTGTCTATTTATATCAAAGTCCTACTAAAATAATTTAATTCATTACATTTACTTTTACCTTTATTGGTTCATGTTATTAGAAGTAATACAAGCATAATAAGAAATACTGGTATTGTAGAAAAGCCAAGACATGATTTTCATACCTAAAAAGACCACCCAGTGTATTATCTATCAGCTTTACATCTCTTAAAAACCTGAGTAAGTAAATGGCAGTTAGTAAACCTGTAAATTCGCTTTTTAAAAGAATGTTGTTTTGACCAATATCAACGCTACCTAATAGAACTTTCTGAAAAGATGTAAATGTTGTATATCTGCACTATCCAATGAGGTAGCCACTGACTACATATGGTTATAGAGCACTTGACCTATAGCTAGTGGGACTGAGGAACTAAAATTTAAATTTTATTTAATTTTAATTAATTTATTTTAAGTAGTTCCATGTGGCTAGTGGCTAACTTGTGGGACAGTGCAGCTAGAGGAATGCACACATGAACAAGGGCCAAACATGAGATTTGAAGTACTTGGCTCCTGTGAACTCAGAGGACGATGTCCTCTTTTCTACTCAGATTTAGGCCCTTCATGGTTTTATATTTTTTTAAATAATTAGAGACATATTGTTGACTGGAAAGTTTATTTGTGTCAGAGGCTTGGTATAAGCATTTGAGGTTGCCTTCCTTTCTATGTTAAGTTGTCCTCAGAGCAGTAATATGGATTTACAACAGAATAGAAATTGCGAATACAGGTGCCAGTTTATCTACTCTTAATACGAAAACGTATTGTAGAAATAATAATTAACAATCATTCTGTTTTTTATCATTTTAACCACTAAATTTTTGTGTTGTTTTTGAGTTTTCTTTTTTCTTTTTTTTTTTTACTCAGTCCCTCTATACCCCCAGCAGTACCCCTCCCTGACAGCTGTCAGCCTGCTCTCTATCTAACAGTCTGTCATTATTTTGCCTGTTAGTTCATTTTGTTCCTTAGATTCCACATATCAGTAAAGTCATATTGTACTTGTTTCTCTCCGACTGGCGTACTTCACTTAGCATAAAGTTCTCCACATCCATCTGTTCTGTTGCAAAGGGTAAGGTTTCCTTCTTTTTTATAGCTAAGTAGTATTCCAATGTGTAAGGCACCACAGCTTTTTTATCCACTCATCTACTGGTGGATACTTGAGCTGCTTGTAAATATTGGCAATTGTAAATAATGCTGCAATGAACGTAGGGGTGCATGTATTCTTTTGAATTAGTGTTTTGGGTTTCTTCAGAAACTTTCCCAGAAGTAGCATCCCTGGGTCATAAGGCTGTTCCATTTTTATTTTTGAGAGTTAGTTCCATGCTGCTTTCCACAGTGGTTGGGCCAATCTGCATTTCCACCAACAGTGCAAGAGGGTTCTGTTTTCTCCACATCCTCGCCAGCACTTATTGTTTGTTGATTTATTGATGATAGCCATTCTGACAGGTGTGAGGAGATATCTCAATGTGCTTTTAATTTGCATCTTGTGCATCTTTTCATATGCCTGTTGGCCATCTGTATGTCCTCTTTGAAGATGTGTCCTTTCAGATCCTTTGCCCACTTTTTAATGGGATTGTTTGTTGTTTTGGTGTTGAGTTTTATGAGGTCTTTATAAATTTTGGATATTAACCTCTTATCAGATATATTGGAGAATATATTCTCCCATTCACTGGAATGTCTTTTCATTTTGTTGATGATTTCCTTTACTGTGCAAAACCCTTTTTAATTTGATGTTGTCCCATTTGTTTATTTTTTCTTTTGTTTCCCTTGCCCAAGGAGCTATATCAGAAAAAATATTGTTACAAGAAAGGTCCATGATTTTACTGCCTATTTTTTTGTCTAGGATTATTTATGGTTTCAAGTCTAACATTTAAGTTTTTAATCTGCTTGGAATTTGTTTCTATATATGGTGTGAGAAAGTGGTCTAGTTTCATTTTTTTGCACATATCTATCCAGTTTTCTTAACACCGTTTATTGAATAGACTATCTTTACTCTATTGTATGATCTTGCCTCCTTTGTCAAATATTAACTGACTATAAAGGTGTGGGTTTATTTCTAGGCCCTCTAATTGTTCAGTTGATCTATATGTCTGTTTTATGCCAGTGCCATGCTGTTTTTATTATGATAGCTTTATGGTATAGTTTAATACCAAGTGCCATGACTCCCCCTTTCTTCTTCTTTCTTAAGAACACTGTTCCTATTCTGGGTCTTTTGTGGTTCCATATAAATTTTTGGAATATTCTAGATCTGTGAAATGCTCCATTGATATCTTGAAGGGAATAGCATTGAATCTATAGATTGGTTTGGGTAGAATGGACACTGTAATGATGTTAATTCTTCCTGTCCATGAACATGAGGTATATGTTTCCACTTATTTTTATCATCTTCAGTGTCTTATAATTTTTGGAGTATAGGTCTTTGACATCCTTGGTTAAATTTAATCTTACATATATTTTTAAATTTTTTTAACTCCCACCCAAGGATATTTTTTTCATTGCTTTCAGAGAGAAAGGAAGGGAGAGAGAGAAATGTCCATGCTCAAGAGAAGCATCAATTGGTTCTCTCCAGTAACTACCTGAACTGGGAATCGGTGCTGGGACTGCATTCAGACTGGGCGCCACACAAACCCAAAACCTACATTTGTGCCCTGATTGTGAATCAAACCTGCAGCCTTTTGGTTATGGGGTGATGCTTCAACCAATTGAGCCACACTGGCCAGGGCTGTTATTTTCTTCTTCTTAAGCAGTTGTGAATGGGATTGTTTTCTTAGTTTCCCTTTCTGATAGTTCATTATTGGCATATAAAAGTGGAACTGATTTCGGGATATTAATTTTGTATCCTGCTACCTTGCTGAATTCATTTATCAATTCTAGTAGTTTCTTGGTGGAATCTTTAGGGTTCTCTATGTACAGTTTCATGTCATCTGCAAATAATTATCGTTTTACTTCTTCCTTTCCAATTTGGATGCCTTTTACTTCTTCTTTTGTCTGATTGCTGTGGCTAGTACTTCCATGTTGAGTAAGACTGGTGAAAGTGGAAATTCCTGTCTTGTTCCTAATCATAAAGGAAATACTTGTAGTTTTTGTCCATTGAGTATGATGTTGGATGTGGGTTTGTCATATATGGCCTTTATTATATTGATGTATGTTCACTCTGTCCTACTCTGCTGAGAGTATTTATCATAAATGGTGCTGGATTTTATCAGATGCTTTTTCTGCAGCTATTGATATGATCATATGATTTTTATCCTTCATTTTGTTTATGTGCTGTATCACATTTATTGATAGATTTGCAGATATTGTACCAACCCTGCATCCTCAGAATAAACCCCACTTAATCATGGTGTGTGATCTTTTTAATGTGTTGTTGGGTCCAGTTAGCTAATATTTTGCTGAGCATTTTTGTATCTGTGTTCATCAGGGATACTGGCCTGTAACTTCCCTTATTTGTAGTGTCCTTATCTGGTTGTGGAATTACAATAATCCTGGTCTCATTAAACGAGCTTGGGAGGCTTCCCTTCTGTTGAATTTTTTGGAAGTTTGAGAAAGTAGGTATTAGTTCTTTTTTGAATGTTTGGTAAAATTCATCTGTGAAGTCATCTGATTCAGGACTTTTGTTTGTTGGGTGTTTTTGATTACTGCTTCAATTTCACCTGCTGTAATTTTTCTATTAGATTATCTGATTGTCCCTTATTCAGTTTTGGAAGATTTTATGTTTCTAGGAATTTATCCATTGTGTCCAGATTGTCCATATAGTTGTTCATAGTATTTTCTTGCAATCCTTGCTATTTCTTTGGTGTCAGTTGTTATTTCTCCTCTTTCATTTCTGATTTTATTTATTTGGGCCCACTCTCTTTTTTTCTTCATGAGTCTGGTTAAATGTTTGTCAATCTTGTTTATCTTTTCTAGCAACCGACTCTTGATTTTATTGATTTTTTTTATGTTTATTAGACTCTATTTTCTTTCTGCTCTGTCCTTTATTTCCCCCATTCTTTGTTTGTTCTTTTTCAAGTTCCTTTAACTGTAAAGTTAGATTGTTTATTTGAGATTTTTCTAGTTTATTGAGATAGCCCTGCAATGCTATGAATTTCCCTCTTAGGACTACTTTCACTTGTCCCATAGATTTTAGATTACTGTGTTCTTATTTTCATTTGTTTCAAGCTGTCTTTTGGTTTCTTTCTTGATCTCATTGTTAATCCATTCACCGTTTCATAACATGTTAGCCTCCATGTCTGTGTTTTTCAGTTTTTTTCTGGTGATTGATTTCTAGTCTCATACTATTATGGTCAGAAAAGATAATTGGTATGATTTCAGTCTTCTTAAATTTATTGAGATTTGTTCTGTGGTCTCTCATAGAAAATGTTCCATGTGCACTTGAAAAGAACATATATTCTGCTGCTTTAGGGTGAAGTGCTCTGAAGATATCAATTAAATCCTTCTATTCTAGTGTGTCATTGCAGGCCACTGTTTCTTTGTTGATTTTCTGCCTGGAAGATCTATCCATTGAAGTCAATGAGGTGATAAAATACTGTTAAAATATCACTGTTGATCTCTCCATTTATATCCATCAAGATTTGCTTTATATATTTAGGTGCTCCTATGTTGGGTACATGAATATTTACAAGGATTATATCCTGTCATTGGATTGTTTCCTTTATCATTATGTAGAATCCTTGTTTGTCTCTTACTACAGCGTTTGTTTTAAAGCCTCTTTTGTCTGATATAAGTATTGTTACTCCAGCTTTTTTTTCCCATTTTCATGAAATCTCTTTACTTTTAGTTTGTGTGTATCTTCTGAGTTGAATCTCCTGTCTACAGCATATATAGA